CTAACGCCCACAAAGTGCGGAAAAAAAAAAACACATATATTGACTCGCACACCCTTCTCACCTTGACTTAAGTCTGCTTCTGTCTTTAGAATGCCCGAGATTGCACCGTATGTGAGAGGAGATAGAAAATGAGCGCGAAGTGCCAGGGTTGGTTGGAATTATGTCATGAACTACCATTGGTACCTATCAGACGCAAATGTAATGTTGGTTGCATGATGTTAGATGCGGTTTAGCATTTAATTATGTAATAAGGGGCGAGAGAAACAAATATATTTAAATTCGCTGACTAGCGGCGTAGGGGAAAGAGGAGTAAAATAATTGATATCTTCTGGCGGAGAATAACGTTAGTTATTTTCCAACAATGGGTGTTTCTTTATTTTCTGTATGATTTAGTTTTAAGAATATTTTTTGTTTCCTTTATTTACAACCCTTTTGTAAATATTATTTTGAGTACTCAAAACAATACACCTTAATTTTAACAAGACGTCTCGGATAGGTATAAATAAACCTTCTTATTTTATTATTCATATATTTCTCCAACTATTGGCGAATGAATTGAGAGGATATTCTCAATTACACGATTTCTATTGACTATAAATTTAACTGTTTAAAAATGAATTGAATATTTTCAAATATATTGTTCCTACCGTTTATAAATTTAAGTGTTTATAAGTGGATTTAAAAAATACTTCCAATTTTATTACTTTTAGAGTTTGATTCATCAAATGAATTGGGTAAATATTGTTAATATATCATTATTTCTCTTCTGAGCAAAGAACGTTTGTATAATTTAATGCTCATCGAACAAATTGAGAAAATATTGTTAATATATCACTTTCATTTATTTTTCTATTAAATTCAATTTAAATTATGTATGACTTTTATTTCACAGAATATCATGATAATCTCTACAAGTGTCTATTTGCAGATTCGTGTATTTATGGTTTAATTATTTAAATTTTATTTACTATGGTTTTTGAATTTACCTTTAGATTTTAAAAATTTCTTTATCAAATAATACCAAATTTTTTAATCTATAAAAAAATCAGTGGCGTCCATCTATGGTTTAAATACTCTTTTTTGTATTTTATTTAAGTGTATCTAAAGTCAATTTAAAATAATTAAATTTCAAGGCAACAAATCCTTACTCACACCTTTATGCCACCAACAGTAGAGCTGGTGTGCTATATATAACCTAAACTCTTTGTCAAAAGAAAAAAAAAAGGTTACAAAGTTGAATATTATTGTTGAACTTTTTAAATTGTTTATTTTACCTTTTACATTTTTTTTTCTACTCTTCATACAGTATTATGTGAAGAGTATTATAGGTTTACTTTGTCTGTCTGTCCGATGTCACATTTTTTGTCTGCACGATAAGTCACTTGAAAATTTTAAGCAAAAATCAAGCTCTATAAAAGGACAAAGCCTATTGATTTTTAACAAATCTGATTAAAAATAGGGGGTTAAGATGGGTTGAAATTAAAAAAAAATCCTAAATTAAAAACGAAAAGCAATATCAATATGAAATTTTTAGTAAAAATGTAGCTTTATAAAAAGATAAAGACTATTTATACTGAAAAAAATATGAATATATTGGGGAGTTAAGGGGGGTTAAAATATAAAAAAAATCCTAATTGAAAAACTTGAAATTTTTAGCAAACATCAATCTCTAAAAGGAGAAGAAGCCCTTTCATTATAAAAAAAAATCTGATTAAATATAGGGTATTTAAGGGGGGTTGAAATTAAAAAAAAAATCAAAAATGAGAAGCAATATTAACATGAAATTTTTATGCAAAAATCAAGGTCTATAAGGAGATGAGACCTATTGATTGTGAAAACAATCTTTTTAAAAATGGGGGTTAAGGGGGTCTGTTAAACTGCGAAGAGTATCATTTAAAATTCCAGGCATTATACTTATATTTTTATTCTAGTTTGTGTCTGTGTAATATTACGTATTGTGATGGGACTGATCTTATAAAATAGACATTTAAAACATTTTAGTTCTTATTTTATTTGTCAATAAAAGGTATTTAAAAAATATATTTTTTATTTGACATCTGTGACAAATTGTGAAAATGATTTTAAACTTACAATAAAAACTAAAAAATGGTAGGTAAAGTTTCATATAAATTTTTTTTACACAAAAATCAATGTCAAGCTTTCTACATAACCAGATATATATTTAAAAATAATTTCAAATTATAAATACAAGTCTGTTTACTAACTAATAATATTTATAGATGGTTTTCAACGTATTTAAATCAAAACAAATATTACACTAACTAAAATATTCATTTATTAATAGTTGTAGGGCTTGAAAACAGTATAATGTTGATAATAATAACTACACTTAATACAAACTCAAATAATAAAAAAAAACAGCGATATTGACTTTTGTACAAAGTTTTGATCCGAACTTACATATGATAAAATTATTGGAAAAAGTGAACACCCATTTTAAATTATCACGAGCCGCCACTGGACACACATGAAGATATGTCTCAACCACTCATACCTATCACCTACGAGTAGCTAAGTCATATCACATGCTAACTATCTAACTAGGCTGCAATATATGTTTATAATTACTTTGACCTTGACTAAAAATTATTTTTTATTAAAATATTAATTGCAAAAGCTGTACAACCCTTCAAAATTTAATTATTTATGCCCATGGTAGTTGTCAGTTACCATTCGTCCTAGGTAGAGAGGGACACATATGACGTTATGTCTCCACTACTCGTACCTATCACATATAAGTAGTGGAGACATAAATCATGTTGGCTAGTTAAGCGAGATGCAAAAACTGATATCAATTAATAATTTACTTAATATTATACAAAAATTATGTTTGTTTTTAAATTTAAATGTCATCTGCTAAAATGCTGTTTCTATCATTAAAAGAATTTTAAGTGTTACTAGTACTAAGCAAAAAAGTAGTAAATATCACTAAGATGCTTTATATCAGACCGTTTATTCATACAATTTGCTTCTTGGGATATCCAAGCCATTTCTAAGAGAAGTCTTTAAATCATGTTACTCTCTCCATCAAGAATTTCAGCAGAGTCGTAATTCATTATACGATCTAATTTGTTAACGTGTTCTGCTAACGAGCATCTCTCTGGGTACAATCTTGAATCACTTTTGTGTGAAGTTATTCGTTGACTAAGTGCTCTAGAGGTTTCACCAATGTAAACCTTATCGCAGTCTCTACATGGTATTTTATATATTATGTTCTTTAAGCAGAATTTAGGTGTTTTATCTTTAACTTTATTATAAATTGAATTTATTGTCAGAACTGTTCTGTTAGCTATTTTTAAATTAACAATATTTTAGTGAACCTAGGTGTGATCTCTTTGATGTAAGGTAGTGACACATAACTGGCTACTTCTTGGGGAGGATCATTATTATCATTGATATTCTGGTTGTTAGTCACACTTACTCTTTGGTTCTCATTATTTTGTTGATCTCCTATTTGAGCAACACCTGTTAACGTTGACGATAGGTTTAATAATATGTTGTTTACCAACCTAGGAGGGTAAGAATTATCTATAAAGCAGCTGTTTTAAAATGTTGAGATTTTTATTATGGAAACTTTTGTCAGATATTTTACGTACTCTGTTTTTCATTTGTTTTACCAAATTTACCTTCATTTGGTATTTATGATACGAGTGAAAGTTTAGATAACGACCTAAATGACAAGGTTTCCTATACCAATCTATTAATATTGTTACCCTGCGTAACATTGCTTCCTCTTCTCTAGTTATTCGCCCCGAATAACTTGATTACTGGGATCTGGTTGGAGCCAACGGGGAGGATCTGAACCACGGTATGACGCTAACTTCTCAATGTGAACTACCTTGGGTTTACTACTCGTTGACAACTGAATGCGGTAGATCTGGTCGTTGATTTTTTTTTGAGGATGGTGTAGGGGCCTTCCAAGTTCCGTTGCAGCTTCTGACAAAGTGATAGGGAAAAAGGGAGTAATTCATAATCATTTTGCAGAAAATGTGAAGCAAGAAGAAAGGGACCCAATTGAGCGAAAAAACTATCCATCATGGTATGAAGGATTATATGAAGATATGAATAAAGAATTCACTGAAAATGGGACAGCCATAAATTTCCCCATAATGAGAACTCATAAGGCCCCTTTCTTCTTGCTTCATATTTTCTGCAAAATGATTATGAATTACTCTTTTTTTCCCTCATTAAGGAGTTTTTTATTGGAACAGTTAGTTTAGAATTTTCCCCTGTGGATGAAACCAAACCTCTTGTTTTTTACATCTGAACGCTAGTAATTTTCTATTAATTCTTCCGTGGCTTAGTAGCACTCATTCATTCTCGTTTGATGGTCCTCAGTCCTTAGATTTAGGTTGAGAAACATCAATAGCATGTTCATCAGTATATTCTACTAATTGGATTGGATCGCAATAAAAAGGCCGGACACATGATTACCTTATACTTGCATTCCTCTTCCCCCACTGGAATGGTGGGGTCTGTAAGGCATTCGAATAATTTTTCTTTGGTGATCACTTTAAGTGATTGATTTGTTGGCTCTATGATTCCAGTGATTGACTCATTTATTCTTGTTTATATAAATTCCTTCATACAATTAATATATTCAAGTGCTTTTCCCTGTTTAAAAATAATTTCTGAGAGTTCCTTTTCCATAATGATTGTGTCCTCAAGGTTGTAAGTCTTCATCACTGTTCTTCTTAGAGCTAAGAAACTAGTTACCTTGTCTTCTCCCGGCATTTTTTCATTTTTGAGTCTTGTCATTATGTCAAAATTGTCGAGATTGATTATTATTAATGAAACATGCCCAAACTCAATTGTGGTTCGCTCGTTTAGGAATTCATTTATGACCTTTTCTGGGTTGATGGTTGTTTTAACTTCTATTCGTTTCTGGTTAGTTTGGTGTCAATTATATCAAATAATTTATTCGGTTTTGGAATGTTCCACTTCTTTACATAGTGATCCTGGAATCTTCCAGCATTGACCAATCCCTCAAGAACTATGTATCTGAATTTAAGCAAATTGATCTGCTTCAAATTGTTTGCTTTCATCCTCAAATTCATAACTTTCATCATTTTCCTCTTCACTGTCTTGTTCAAATATATCTGACTTATACTCGTAATCCAACTCTTCTTCAATACTTGGTCCTGGGTCTAACCTACTTCTCTTGAGTGGCTGTTTGTTTTCCTCTTCCTCCTCATAGCTTTTATCTTTCATAAATTTCCTCTTTAATTCATTTAGCATCATTTCTTCAATTTCTTCAGACATCTCCAGATTGGCTAATAAAACACAAACCATGTCGTAGCACAAATATCTTTCCCTTTTTGCCCATGTATCAAGTTCCCAGTGTGGGCAGGTGCTCTGAAATTTTTCTATGAATGCAAGTGGATATAGTTCATTTCCTTTGACCAAACTTTCATATTTATCTGCACTCATTCTCAATTTGTAACATTACTCTCTGTTTATGCATTTCAACGACCTGTAGTCTATCAATGAATGCTTGTATGCCGATTTGTTCTAAAAAATCTTTAGGTGCCTGTGGATAGGGCAGATGCAGCAATCTTTTAATATCGGCTTCGAATTCTTGTAGACTCTCATCGTGTTTCCGACTACGAACTTTTAGCTGGCTTTGGAATACCTATTTCAAATGCTGCTGGCCATATCTTGTCTCCAAAGCTTGGACGAGAGATGAGTAACTGGGTTCTCCTTGGGGAAGTAACTGTAAAATAGTTGCTGCCTGACTTCGCAATGACACTATTAATGAAGCCTTCATCTCATTCTCGGTCCAGTCATTGGCTCTAGCTGCAGCTTCAAATTGGAGTCGATATGTTTCCCATGTTGTCTGACCGTCAAACGTGGGTGGCTTAAAAAGGATTATTCACGTTACACCGTGCCGAGACCGGGCCGTGTCCGTGCCGCATCGTTGTCAGCGTGCGCCGACCGCGTCAGCCATTCATGCTACACCGGGCTGTTATTTGAGTACAGAGTACGTGTCGGTAACGAATTTTGTCAAGCGTCCATCTTTTTTTTTAAAGAAGGTATATTTTTCGCCGTTTTTCACTTGCGTGATATAATACGACTTGTGTTTTGAAATGCAATTTTCGCAATTTGAATTGACAGCTATCGCAATTGCCATTGATGACCAAGTATTGGAATCACAAATTGCAACTTCAAAAAGAAAATGGGGTGTGCATCCAGCCCGGAGAAAACGAGAATTGGAAGGAGAGTTTGCAACGCTCTACAAGGAATTGATAGATGATGAGAGCAAATTTTATGGATATTTTAGAATGTCCAAAGAATGTTTCACTATTTTACTTCAAAAAGTAGAACCTGACTTAACAAGAAAAAATTCAAGATTTCAGAAGCCTATATCTCCCACTGAACGTTTGGCAGTCTGTCTCAGGTAGATAATAAATTTTAAAATTATAAAAAAAAAATTAAGTTAACAACTATCAATGTTAATATTTATGTTTATTATTTATGTTAATTTACATTTAGTTAAACTGTGAAAAATAACCGGGCAAACTAATATCTAAGACAGTGGTTGATGTCGAAGGAGTCGGTTCCCAGAAGGAGTCGGTGTTTGAATTGGAAGCGGTGAATACACTGGCGTTGAATTATAAGATAACGATTGTCCACTCATCGAGGATGTAGAAGGCTCTGCAGATTGCAACTGTTTCCATTCCAAATTCTGAACCACTGCAAAAATCTTTCCTTTTGCAACATGCTGATAGTAGGGAGAAAACTTTTTTATCGTGGCTGCTAGACCGTTGAAAAAAGCATCAATTGGATTAATGTCTTGATTGGGAATTTCATTGTTTTTTAGTATATATTCCATTAAGGTATTGGACGCATATGGCTGGGGCTGATGATTTGGGAACTGAACGACGGTTGCGTTTATTGAAACGAGCAGTTTGTGCAGTTGACTGAAGAGTTGTCTTGGGATCAGTTAATGGAGTCGAGTTAGGTTGCAAAATGACTGATGGTTCTTGCTCTTGCTGCCTTTGGTCCACATTAGCAATTTCTTCTTCATGAACCGTAGTAGCTTGTGTGGATTGCATTGGTTCTGTTTCGTCTTGCGTCAGTTCGTTCTCTGATTCGATATTTGTTATCGTTTGTCGCTCCTGTACGTGAGGCAGTAGGAAACTTAAAATTTCTTCATATTTTGTATTTTTTTATAACCGCAGCACCCTGACCACTTTTAGATTTACGTTTATTCAAATGCTTTTTGTACTTATCTCGTATGTTTCCCCATCTTTTCTTACAGGCATCATCTGTAATAGAAGGAAATAAAAAACATTAAACATTATTGTGAATGTATATACATTTATACGTATAGCTATTACAATAATGTGTTTAGTTATAGAAATATTTCTTATTTGCAGGTTCTTGGCGACTGGGGATTCATTCAAAACTATTTCGTAAGTTTTCGATTGGACCATTCAACTGTGAGTGAAATTATACACAGCACCTGTCGCTCTATCGTCAAAAGATTAATGAAAGAGTTTATACCTCAACCGTCTGAAAAAAGAGAACAAATTGCACAAGATTTGCACAGGCTTTGGAGTTTCCCGAATTGTATTGGCGCATTAGATGGCAAACATGTTGTTATCGAGGCCCCTGCCAGAAGTGGCTCTGTATATCATAATTATAAACACACGTTAGTGGACGCGTGTTACAAATTTATTGCAGTTGAAGTTGGCTCTTATGGGCGAAACAGTGATGGTGGCATTTTCGCAAGTTCCAACCTAGGAAAGCGTCTAGAAAACGGCACGCTTAATATACACATAGGCCGAAATTTACCCAACTCCATGACGTTTGCACCATTTGTAATAGTTGGCGACGAAGCTTTTCCTCTGAAATCATACTTAATGCGGCCGTATCCAGGACATCACTCAACAGGAGTGATGCAGATAAAACGAATTTCAATCACAGACTTTCTTTGGCCAGACGACTCGTCGAAAATGCCTTTGGCATTTTGACGCAAAGATTCAGAATATATTGCAGAAGAATGAAACTTACTTCAGAAAATGTTGATTATGTTATTCTATCTACTTGCGTTATTCACAATTTTCTATGCGAACGAAGAGATTACACGGGATTAATGAACCAAGGAATACAGGATTCACAACCACATCTATTGAATTCACTGAGCACTCAGCCCGGAAGACCTTCTAATGATGGATTCACCGTGAGAGAGCTTTTTAAATCATATTTCGCTTCGACAACAGCACGTACTGTTAATTCTGACTGACTTTATTTTATTTCGGAAATTCATTAGTGGTTATAAATTTATTCTTATAATTATAATAAATTTAAATATTTTAACAAATATAGTGGTTTAATTCCAAAAAAAGATTATATGAATGACTGTATTTTGTTCTGTTTGGAATAAACTGCTAGGCATTTTGAACAAAAAATCCTGCATAGATACCTACGTCACTTGTAGTATAATATACCTAACTGCTTACTATGAGAAAACTTGTAAAATAGAACAATTTTTGTGAATTAAAAACAAAATAAATACTTACCAGATTGGTTAATTTCAGAACCTATTGTTCTCCAAATTACGGTTTTGTATTTGGAATCCAAATACTTGGGATGGCGTGGCCGAACCGGGTCGAGGCCGGAGAAAAATACATACCGACAATTCGGCGCCGTGTTCCGACCGCGCGTCGGCCGTGCCACGCACTTTGCCCGGTCGACTATGAATTGGTTCATAAAAAAGCATACTTCATATGTGTGACCGTGTCCCGCCCGGGGCACGGCCCGGTCTCGGCACGGTGTAACGTGAATAATCCTTAAGAGTCTTGTTAGTAAAGTTTTGTGAAACTGGGATTCGAATGTGGCTTGGATGAAGACGACGTAGTGTTTTCAGCTTCAACGTTGCTTATTGGAGCTTGGCTACGAATTCTTTCTAACTCAACTATTTCAGTTCTAATTTGCCATTCCAAGTCTGCTCTAGCCCTTTCTTGTTGTTGCTCTAAGTTAGCTTTTAGATTATTTTGTTGTTCCAAATTAACTTTTAAATTCTCTTGTTGCTCTTCTAAATTAGTTTGTAAATTTTCCAAATTAGTTTTTAAGTTCTCTTGTTAGATATCTACTCGACTGTTAAGCTGACCTACCTCTTGCTTGAAATTTTCCTAAATTTGTATCAAACCATTTATAATTTCTACCTCTGCTTTCCTACGCCTTTCCTCCTTCTCTTCTTCCTTCCTACGCCGTTTCTTTTCCTCCTCCTCTTCCTACGCCGTTCCTTTTCCTCCTCTTCTTCCTTCCTACGCATTTCCTTTTCCTCCTCTTCTTCCTTCCTACGCATTTCCTTTTCCTCTTCTCGCCTTACTCTCTCCTCTTCCATCTTCAAAAACTATGCTGGTGGACCTGAAGTGTCCATAACTGCTTCGTACTCAGTGGATCTAGTATTTGCCATGAACTTCTACTTTGTATCCCACCGCTGTCACCAATGTTACCCTTGTTTTTGGTATCACAATTTATTTGAACTCAACTTTTACAATAACTCAATTCAACTGATACAATAACTCTAACTGATAACATTCACATGTAACGTCTATCATAAAACTGACCCTCTGACATCAGGTCGTCGACTTATATAGCTTGCTTGTCCTTCTGGAACCTTCTCTAAATGTCATCTAGAATATTCTTGACTTGTAATGACATTTCTGGAATATTCTATCTTCTTTTACTTGTACTTTTACTTATGACGACCGCAGCACACTGTAGAGCGATGAGTAACATTCCACTTCTTTTTCTATCTGTACGTTTCCTATGGTAGCCGCAGGGTGCTGCGTAACAATATACTATTATCACTAGATCTAATAAACCTGGTGTCCAAGAATGGAACTGAGTTCTCCTGGTCCTCGAGTTCAATTGTGAATTGAATGTGTGGGTCATAACTATTAAAGGTAAATAAGATTTCATCTATCCCATCCCTAGGCAGTCCGACAATTAAGTCATCAACATACTTTTTAAGAAGGAAAATATTAAACGATAATACTGGTAAACTAGTGTCTAAAATTTAGTCCATAACATATGCTGCTAAAATAGAAGATAAACTTTGTCCCATAGGACACCCAAAAGTTTGTTTATACATTTTGTTATTAAATGAAAAGTAAGTGTTATCAAAAAGAAAAGTAACAATTTCCATGAAATTTTCTTCATTAATATTACAATGATTTTTGATTCTGTCTCAGTTGTAGTCAATAGCTCTTAAGGCTATGTGGACATTACTAAAAAGGACAATTTTCATAACTTCTTGATATATTAGCAACTTTTTCTATTAATTGTAAAAATTTTTCAGATAATAAGTCTTTTTATTTCGTAATTATTGTCTGCTGCTTAATACAGAGTTGCTACTTTCTAATTCAGTTTCCATTATTTTCTTATTTTTAGCATAATCGTCTATTTGCATTTTTTAG